TGCAAACATGAAACCCTAAGAAACTGCAAGAGAAGTTATGATAAGGATGGGTTTTGGTAACAAATCATTACAATCATCTCTGATTATAGGTAAGCAATTTAGTAATAATGGGGCTATTTGGTCTCTGAGCAAAAGATGCACTACAACTACTATCAAAAATGTCAGAGTTTAATGCCTGTGATTTGAGGGCAGAATTTTATCTGTGTTTTTCTACCTTGAAGGCATCAGAGCAGGAAGTTAAAACTCATTGTAGGATGCCAGTAAACTGCTGTTGGTCATCTGTTGGCATTTCCTCCTATGACTCATCATAGTCTACAGTCAGATTTATTTTTTAACAATAGTCCAGAAAACTTTATATAATATGGTTGCAAATGAGAACAATCACACATACACTTAAATAAAATCGGTCATCTCAGACTCACTTCTGGAAAGTGGAGGGAGAAAAAAGCTAATGAACTTATTCCACACTTTTAAAAAACAGGTTCCATGAAGAAGAATATTCCCAGCTTTGATAAAGACTAATTCCATATTTAATTTAAGTGAGTCTCATATGTTTTGTTGTCCTTGTGTTATTTTCTGGTGATGTCAAAATGGAAATTATGTAGCAAGCATGCATTTCCCTATTTTCTCTGAAATAAGAATGAAAGGGTTTAAATGCAGGAGCTGTATGTAAGGTAAGCCTGTACTATTCTGGAGGACTCAGGGGCTCACTTTTGGAAGGTAAAAGAAAGTGAAAAAGGTGAATCAAGGTAAAGTCAATTGTTACCTGAAAGATGGTTAAACTGTACTATGTGACTTTAGTATATTCATCTTTTATAGTAGTTTGGATTTTAATAAATTAGGTCCAGATGATGTGATTATAGTTTATACATTTAGGAGAGGCGGTGTATGGAAATTCATACGTCCTTCCACAATCCGACTCCAGGTAACCATTGTTGACCTTTGTTCACTTGTGTAAGAAAGTTTCATGGACTCCATGTTTTCCCGTTACCTTTACTACACCTACCAGTGGTTTTAATTGAGGAAAAGTCTTCTAAAATCACATTGTCTACAGGTATCAATAAACCTAATCACTTAAATGCAGTATTTTTCTTCTAAAAGTGTCTTATGTCTTTAGAAGTAGAATTGAATATTGGAAAGGCCTTTGTCCTTCAACTGCCTGTAACTAGAACCATGCCTTCTCAGATTTAAAACACCTTCTCTTGAGATGGGTGGAGTCCATTCTCAGTTCTCAAATCAAGGGCTGATTAATCCACTAGAATAGTATCCATGTTGCCATGTTGCTACATTCTCATACTGTGTGCTATGAGACTTGTGTTAAGTCACCAGTACTATAGGGAGATGACAGTGACACATGAGAAAGTGTTTTTGTAAATTACAAATCACCATATAAGTAAGGTAGAAGTGTCATTGCTGCCTTGAAAATGTAGATTGCTCTGTCATTAATAGAAAAGACTTAAAATTCAAAAACTACTGTTTTAGTATCCCTCTTTCTTCTTTTTAACATGTAGAGGATTTTGGCAATTATGGCTACTATTCCATTGCTGGGATTTTTTTTTTTTCTAATTAGCAATGTATTTATGATGTGCATGCAATAATGCTTTTCCTTCATGTCCATGCAGCTCTATAAATCCATTACACTTAGGGCCGCCTGGATGGCTCAGTCTGTTAGGCATCCGGCTTCGGCTCAGTTCATGATCTCACGGTTCATGGGTTCGAGCCCCGCGTCGGGCTCTGTGCTGATGGCTCAGAGCCTGGAGCCTGTTTCAGATTCTGTGACTCCCTCTCTCTCTGACCCTCCCCTGCTCACGCTGTCTCTCTCTCTCTCTCTCTCAGAAATAAATAAAACATTTAAAAAATTCCATTACACTTAGAAACTTCATCTTAAAGTTTATTTGTTAATGCCAGAAATTTTGGCCACATAATTAAGGTTTTTAAGGCTTCAAACTATGTAGAATAAGTATAAGTAATGTGAAGCTAGAAGGCAGACCATGAGTCCATGTTAATTACTGAATTTGCAGCATACTACATTTCACAAAGAAGGTCATGTGTTCCATAAAAGCATGTGGGAAGGGATTTAGACACGAAGTTGACTTGTATGAATTTATGAATTGTACCCAATTAACAAATGCTGTTAACATGGTATTCCTTAAACTATGTTCATGAATAATTCATGAACTCAGCTGCTGCTGGAGGTGGAACTGTTTTCTCTAGCTTATGAACACAGTGTGGTGTCCACAAGGCAATTCACTATGGCTATATCCCCAAACCGTCATATAAGCTTATTCATCGCTGCTGTAAAAACTCCCTAGTAATTCTCACGTATACCTCTGATCCATTTCACTCTATAATAGTTCCAGGATAAAGATTCTCACAAGACTTTTCAAGTTGACTAAATCATCCATATCCACAGCCTTTTATCTAACCATTAGAAAAATTAAGATGACTTTCCTTTTGTAAACTATAATCTCAGTTCTCAATAGAATTCTACCATCTTTTTCCCTGGAGATAACCTCAAGGAAGGAGTTCAAAAAATAAAATATGAAACTCAAAGTTGGAATGGTCCTTGAATGGCCTGATCCAACTTACTTTCTGTTAACATCTGAATATCATCTTCTTCAAGGTCTTTTTGGCTCTTGTTCCTCTCTTTTGGCCATATTTCTTTCTAGCTATCTACACACTTGATAAATATTTCCTACATTTTTAGCTACTGTTGAAGATACTGAGAGGGCAGGAAGCTGAACAAGCATTTTGAAAGCGGTTTTTCTAACTCTTAACAACAATTTTTCTTCATCTTCAAAGATTATATGAAAGTCCTTCACAGACACAGTTGAAGTACAGATCGTGTTTTCTTACAGGAAATTTAGAGATATATCAGAGCATTATATATTTAGGAATAGGGGTGCCTTGGTGGCTCAATGAGTTAAGCATCTGATTTCGACTCAGGTCATGATCTCATGGTTTGTGAGTTTGAGCCTCTCATAGGCTCTGGGATTTTCTCTCTCTCTCTCTCTCTCTCTCTCTCTCTGCCCCTTCTCCACTTGCACACACACTCTTTCTCTAAAAGTAAATAAACTTTGAAAAAAAAGAGAGTTTTTTTTTTAAGTACACAGGCATAAAAATCCTTGTATTTCACTTCATACCAAGCCAAATGGAACAGACATGTAGTCTTGCAGAAGGGGTGAGTAGGAAAGTAGGATTCCATATTCATTCTCCCAGGCAGATGCTGCTTCCCCACAAACCTACGTCACCTCCGACCTTACAAAAATCCAATGTTGTGGATTTTGCAACAATGATGAAACTGAGGTCCAGTGACTTCATTCACTGATCTTTTTAAACTCATTTTATAGGGAACAGAATGTGTTTTCAAACCAGGTCTAAAACCTCCTTCCTTTCCACAGGCCACAATAATAATCTAGAAGTGTGAGCAATGGAGACAAGAAAAGCAGATATGTCAGTTATTTTGGGCATGAATCTTATAATATTCAATGAAATTTAAAAAAAAATAGTGAAAACAAGTATGGTTAGCACTTCCTTAGGCTCTCTGCATTTATTTTTGTGACTGTGAACTTCATCAGATCTCAGTCTCTGGTAAGAACTTGTCTGGTCAATTATGATGTTGATGTAAATGAAAATGTAATGAGTCTGATTGCCAGTTATTTCAAAGGAGGAGCTTTATAATGGGCTTATTTAATGTTCAAAAACTAAATAATTCTCTAAAAAAATTGTTTCATCCTGAGTTGGATTTATGTAGTGAATATATACATGTTTAGCATCATTTCATATCGTTCCTCTTATGATTATGCATTCCAGAATCCCACTGAAAAATAGGACATCACATTTGAAATTTAGAACAGAGATTTATTCCATCACTGGAATAAATCAAAAAACCAAAGGAATTATTTGGATTTAAGTTTATATTCTCTAAAAATTTAAGCATGAGTATAAAATTGGATTAGAATACTTTGTTATTCATATCTTTCTAATAATCTTAGAATAATAGGTTTTACTTCATAGTGAGTTGGTACCAGACCAATTAAATATTTATTTCCTTCTTTGAGTATTTATTTTTAAACATCTCCATTTGTATCCTTTGGTTAAAACCAGAGCATAAATATGTATTGGCAATGTACATACTTACTTTAATACTTACAAATATTCTATGTACTTCATATTTTACATGTTCTCCTCTAGAGTCTAAAAGTATTTGTTTTTGGGGGTGCCTGGGTGGCTCAGTTGGTTAAGTGTCTGACTTTGGATGAGGTCATGATCTCACGATTTGTGAGTTCGAGCCCCACGTTGGGCTCTGTGCTGACAGCTCAGAGCCTGGAGCCTCCTTCAGATTCTGTGTCTCCCCCTTTTTCTGCCCCTCCGATGCTCATGCTCTGTCTCTCTCTGTCTTTCAATAATAAATTTAAAAACACATTAAAAAATAAGAATATTTGTTTTCAAATGGAAAATACTCATTCTCAAAGCACAACTAGTTACAATTACCTGGTTTTGGTCATCAAATCAGACTCAAAGACTTGAGGTTGTAAACTAGTATTTTTTGTCTTTTGCAGGATAGATAATTTATGTGTTCTTTCATTTTTTATATTGTATATCTTTGTTACTCAAAACACACATTTGACTTGAATTTCCCCTAAATTTATTAAAGATTAGAACTTTTCCATTTTTAGTTTTCTTGCTAAATACTTATACTATAAACAAGACTAGTGGTTTTACAGATTAAGGTTGCTGCTGCATTATTATTCCTGTGATCACTGATTTCCTACTACATGATTTAAAAAATAATCAACATGTAAAAACCGAATATCATAAAAGCGATGATTATAGGATGTGAATTTTAAAATCATTTCAGCAAAATAATTTATGACTATATACTATTAATTTGTCTTACTTTGTCTTAACAGCTTCCTCTACTAAGACAACATATATCAGCTACAGCAATCATTCGATCTGAAACAGGAAAATGGTACAATATGAAGAAATCTGGTATGTGATCTTAAACAATAAACATGGCACCGCCAAAACTCACTCCTGGAGAGCTCTGTAGACTACAATCAATCAAATCAATAGTCAATCCTGTAAGGAACAAAAAGTAGCCATGAGCCAAAAGTATCAATAACAGAGTGAAAAAAAACCATTTTATACAGTACAACCAATGAGTGTCAAGCTAAAGTATTGCTTACTCATAAGCAGTTTAAAAAAAAAAATCACAAAAGGAAAACTAATGTTAGCTTGTGAAAAAAAAATGCTGTTGAAATAAACCATGTCTGATGTTATTCTTGTAAGTATTTTTTTGTGATTGTGAGAACTCCCGTTCCTGTCCCACCTTGTTCAACTTGTATAAGACAATGAATCTGTTTCTTGTAATGGCTGACTGGATTGAAGCCCTGGGTTGTGCTAAAAATAAATGCAATGGTTGACGCATGCACTTTTTTTATACAAATAATTTATTTCTAATAATAAAGGAATGTTTTGCAAATGTTGAGAGTTGTTTCGTTCCAGTTTTAAAGGAAAGGGACACTCTTTCAGGTTGGCACTCTTGCTGTTAAATCCTGATGGAGAAGCCCTAGTACTCCATGGTAATACAATTTCCTCAAGGACTGTGTTTTTTTACATTTATGTGTACATGAAGAAGACTGTCTTTTATTCCTCTGTGAAAAAGCATTATTTGTGTAAGATTTTGTGAATATTTCAAAATTGATGTGGTAACTTTTCATAGTGATTGCTTTTTTTATGAATAATCAAGCAATAGCTCAAGGTGAATTGCTTCAAGTATTATAATTAACAAATGAGGAGTTAAACTTTACTATGGAGAACATAATTTGAAAAACACCATCTAAAAGTATATGAAAGGGTCACTGAAATTCTCCATTTTCTAAGTCAAACCTTTCATATAAGGAAAGAGTTCAAGGTATGTGCTATTAACCTTTTCTTACCTGAGCCTGGTATCCACTGAAATCTGTGAAGTAATGGGCCTTACCCAGTACATTCTTCAAAGCACAGAATTAGCATATTTATTTCCTTGGCATCACTAAAGAAACCACAGTTCAGATAACATGTCAATGCTTTCTTATTTTCCAAATGAAAACATTCATTGGTTCATAGAACAGTATCATTAAAGAGAGAAAACAGGAAGCCTATGTCATGCTAATAAACCATGCTAGGATGGGTAAAAGAAGCCTACTAAAGGCTTTCAAATCTGTTACCATTTTTGTCAGGGGCTCCTCAATTCTATACAATCCCAGACATCCATCAAGTCAATGGGTCTCTACAATCATTTTGTTAGTAAATGTTCTCTCTGCTGAGTTAGCTTGAATGGCTCATTGCACTCCTTATAGATATAAAGAACGATCTATGCTCTGTAGCTTCAACCCAGAGATATTGACAGTCACTTTATTTAATAGAGAGTTAAAGTAGCACAGCTCAGGCTCCTTCACCATGTAGTAACATTTCCTAGATATCTACACGGGCAGAAAGTCACATACAGAAGGAAATGTATGCTTACTGACCTTTGGTTGAGTTTCTCTTAATAGTATTTGTTATTTGTAGACAATATTTAAACCAAGGAGTGAGGGCATTATTTTCAAAATTTCAGATAATCTGAGTTACTGATAAATACAATCCTGTAACCAGGATCCTAAACCCACCTCTAGGTGTGCCTTTCTAGATAAACATAATTGAAAACGAAATTATATCCTCACATTTAGTATATTTTATTATGCCAAGTAGCTGAGAACCAAAAGCCATACCAAGAAAAGAAACTGTAAGTGTATTTTAATTTTTAAGTTGACAATTTCCTTTGTATTGAAGATTATTAGTGTTTTTTAAAGATTTTGACTTAATTTTAATTAGTAAGGATCCATACGTTTGGTTGAGGAAAATGCTTGAGTTTTACAAGCTTAGCATTTCATTCAGAGAGCAAAATTCAAGTATGTTTTCACTTACTAATTGACTCTAATCAGGGTAAGTGGATGCAACAGGGTGATTATGAGAGCAGAGCTGGCTCTCAGGTCAAAGGTCAGTTATTATTATTTTTTTAGGGCTTTAGGAAAAAAATTAAATGTTAAGCATAATTCATGACATTTCAAAATTGTTCTCCCTATTACAAACTTAGCAATGGCTTGTTTTTTTCGAAATACTTTTATAAATAATTGATACTTATTTGCTGTTCTACAAAATCTTATTTAATTCAGAATTAAATAATAGTCCTTATAGATTCATATATTCCAATCATCCTTTACAAATTATCTTGGGGGAAAATTTTCTTTCTGATGAAAATGATCACCTTCCCCAGGCGCTGGGAGGATAAACCCCCACATCTATTATAGCCGGAGCTGCAGAATTCTGGCCTCCACTGTTTTTTTTTTCTCAGGGATTTTGCTGAGGGCTCAGGAGGCAGTCCTATAGGCTGGGACAATGCAGGAAGGCATCCTGTAAGGGGAAGGATTTAGCATGTGCTAGTAGTGGTTCATAAGATCTCTGCTTTAAAATGAACTGCCTGTGTACTATAGATAAGCAAATGCAAAGTTGCATGGAAAAAATATATAGTATTATATTCTTCAGAATCGACCTTGTGTTTTATTCTGGCCAAGAAACGTCACATCTAATCTCAGCATGCCAGAGGGAATGCTAAAAATGTAGCCCAAGGTAATATTCAGCAAATGTCACTAGTAGACAGTGAGCGATATATTAGTGTGACCTTAGGCCAAATCTGACCTCCATTTAAGACAAAAAATTTAGCTGATACTAGTTAATATTTCAAGGTGTCTAAATCACTGATGGTTGATCTGTCCCAAACTAATTTTCTTCATAAGAACAACTACTCATAAACTTAATCTTGGAGGATGATCATTTGAACATCAATAGGAACTGAATGGCAAACTTAATTTTTAGAATTTTAAAGAAATTTTTACAAAAAACATTGTCACTTCAGATGAACAGGATTTTACTTTTTGAAATTTAAATTACCATAAGATAGGAAATCTCACTAGGAACAGAAGTTTGCACCATTTATATTTTCTTCCCCTCTTGATCTACATTCTCTATTATTTACTGATGACAGTGTTGAAAGAGTACTAAAAATTTTCGAAATTACATTAGCTGACACTATTTATTCAGTCAGCAAGTGGAAGAAACAGCATTCTTAACATCTATTATGAAAACTTACCAAGTTTTTATCATTTAATTTCTCTTAATGTCATCCATCTTTTGTAATAAAATTGCTAAAAATAACAATGAAGTCATATAAAAGGATGAGGGAGAAATAATCCCAAATAGCAGATATGTTAATCATACGTAATCATCTTTACAGATGTTTCTTTTACTTTGACTATGGTCCCCTTTGATGAAGATATGAATAACGAAGAACAACTTGACCATAGATAGAAGAAAAGATTTCCTTAAGAAGAAATTATGTCTGTGAACGTTCAGAAACTTGCTGACAGTCATTGTTGGAAAGCGTCACATTAAAGGCACAGCAGCAAAAAGCACAACAATAATTGTTTTGAGTATGCATTTTCTGTGACTATTCTGTTTTTTCCCCTTTAAAATTTTTTGCAGCATAACCTTTAACGATATTGCTACCTGAGGCTGCCATTATTTCTCATTTAATTTAATGCTTCAGTAGGACATTCAGGAATATTTTTCTCTCAGTTGAGCTCAGTGTAAAGTCTTGTATCAAATGTTGACTTACATATCTGCTTTCAGAGTGATAAGGGCAGAGAAAAATATTTTTTTTCTAATTGCCTACTGTTTAAGTAGCTTAGGCAGAGCTAACTTTCACAAATACTTGTTACACAGTCATGAAAGCCAGGATAGATTAGGAACTATGAAGAAACAAGAATGGACAAGTCATAACTTGGGTGGGAGGTAGGGGTGATGTGGTGACAAAAAACAGGAAAGACAAATGACTTCCATTTTCGAAGTGAGCATAAAATTATTTACCAATGAACTGTAAGTCCCATTAGGTAAGCTCACTAGAACACAGAATGGTGTTTGAGAGCTAATGAAGAAACTTAGAGTATTACAGCATAATTTTGAAAGTTAAAAATATAACTCTCATACAGAGGTAAAATAAAAAAGTCAAGGATTTTACTCAACTCATTAACAAATGAGGGAACCAGTAAGATGTTAAAATTAGCTCAGAGAGCATTTGAGAAGCTAGTAACATATACAGCTGTATGAAGACACATATGGGTAAGTCCAAGGGCTGGATACAAAACTAGTTTAGTGTCTCATACAGTACAATAAACTATAAACACTGAGGTTTTCTATTTCATTGGACAGATACTGTTTGAACCTACTCAATAAAAATCAACAAATTCACCGCTGTGCCTTAGAGCTGGGAAGTAACCACATTGATAGAAATCCAGTGCTGCACTGAAAGCATAACCATTAGTAGCCTTTGCCTGTTTCCAAGCTTTGGATTATTTTTCTGCTGTGTGATATTTCAGTGTTTTACTTCTCCTAATTCCAAGCTTTATGTTACCAGTAGTTGAATAATAAGGATCACACACACACCTAAAATCATATTAAGCTGATCTAAGTTAGTAAAGGAAAGGCTCTGGAATGAGGCTGCATTTTAATTATTCTTCCTTTACTCTTTGTCTGGAGACAGAGTAATTCAGAGGCTGGATAGACTAAGATGATATGGAGGATAAATGTGAATAAATGCATGGCTGCCTTCAGCTAACAGTTCCCTATCGGACAGTTCTACAAATAATCTCTGAACGTGTGACTTCTTCCATTTGCCCCCGGGTACTGTCATCTCTAGCGCGTATTTTCTCTCCCTTTCTGTAGTCTATTACCTTAAAAGGGGAAATGTGCTTTCAAACAGTATTTCTGAAGACGATAAATCATGGATAATTTACAGGATCTCTATGCCCACCTCCTATTTGTTATTGGCTATTAAACCTGGCCTATTCTGACAAAGCCTCTTTGAGGATCACTGGCATCTTCCAGGCAAGAATGAAGTCTTCTCAGTCAAAGGGTGGAAGTGGAAAGAAGACAGGTGTATGAATACAGCTCTGCTTTTCCAAAATATCCTAGAATTTAAGCACCTAATCTACCCCTCGCTTCCCTCTGGTGCTCTAGGCTCTGCAGACCAAGTTAATGGTGAGTGTAGGGACTCTCTCTGTATATGCGCCCCATTTTCTGAATGCAGTACTAAAAGCATTGAAGCTCAGTGATTCCTTTTATGGATCTTTACTAACATCCTGGAAGAAGGGAAAGGCAGGCCGTATGAGGCGAAGTTGTAAAATAGATGAAATGTGGTTTATTGACTTTTGTTTTCTTATAATGTTCTTGAACTTCTTTATGCCTCTTGACAATAACACCCAGATGACCAATATCCTCAGTGTAGCTCCTTGGTACTCAGAGATCCTCTTTTCTCACTTTCCATCTTTGGACTCACTAATATTTTCCTGTGCTCCGGGAAATCCTGCCTCAATCCCAAATTACTTTTCTAGTCAAAATATTTCCCACCCCCAATACACACAGATAGCAAAGAGGTATAATGGAGGCCCCCAGGGAAGCTACTGCAGCTGAATTTTAAGTAATGACCATGTAATTAAAACCATTTACTCATTTTCTTTAGAAACTCTTTCCTGAGGATGTGCTATGTAGCCGATGTTATAGGTGCTGAGAACAGAACTGTGAATTAAAAAACCAAACAAACAACAACAACAAAAATCAACCCTGACTCTCACGGCATTTATATTTCTGTAGGAGAGATAAGTAGTGAACGATATAAATATATAAATATAGGATGTGTTAGATAGTGATAATGCTGAGAAGAAAACCCAATTAAACCCAAGAAAGTGGATAGGAAATAGGTTAGGTAGTGCCATTTGTAGAGCACAGGGTTGAAACTTTAGGTTGAGTGGCTGGGGAAGGTGACATTGATTAAAGGCCTGAAGAAAATGAGGGATTGATGTGAGTGGTGTCTTGGGGAAGAGAATTCTAGGTAGAGGGGGCAGAATGGTCCTGAGGCAGGAGCAGGTCTAAACCAGGGCACGGTGAGGGTGTGGGGTG